CAGTTATCGATTCAAATCCCTTAGTGGTAGAGGAACTGAAAGTATAAGTAGAGATAGGGGACATGAAGGTTTGATGATGTTATTATAGGAGTATAGTCCAGTGGAATAAATTGGGAAAGAAAATAAAGGACATGAAGAATTCAGAAGATTAGAATTTGGGAGAACACAAAGAGTGGATGCACCTGCGCCATTGCAAACGATTTTGAGCCATGTTATTCAAGATCTCTAACCATCGGTTGCTATCGTCTCGCGGTCTCCAACCAGGTAATCTACACCTACCAACATGACTCAGTCCACTTGTCAGTGACTTCATGGATTTCTGCCATGTTTTGGTCTGGCCGCTCCTAGCTTTCTTCCAACCTACTCCTACACCATAAAACATAGCACGTCGAGGCAGTCGGTGGTCGGGCATGCGCAGCACATGTCCCAGGACAGGGTTGGATGGAGAATGCTGGTGAGCGGCCTATGCTCCTTGACGAGGACTAACAGGCGTAAGTAAGTAAGTATATGTAACATGGCGGTGTGAAACATCCTTCCAACAGAATTTTTTTTTTATTCAACGAGTTAAAAATATCACCCTCTATGTTCCCTTTGAAATCAAGTTTCAAATAAAAGGTTTATTTTGTGTTATTACCTACATCAACTCGGAGAACTTCTTCTACTAACCATTTGATTTACATGATTTATTACATTACAATTAGATTGATTATAACTTGACACTTTATCACAAATCATTCTAACCGTTATATTTAACATCCGTTCTAATTTACAAATAACACTAATTCGAAGGATCACAGGGGTTTCTAGAGATTGTAGTACTTTCAATAGTTAACATCATGAGTCAGTTGAAGATATACTACCATGAAAAACCTAAAAGCACCGGACAACCGTTTCGTTTTGTTGTAGGACCCATCAGCAGTGCACATGCACGACTCTGCCTCACGAGATTCAAACCCAAGGTTTATAAGTCTCGCGAGCAAACCATTGAGCCGGCTGGCATCCAACGGTGTTAATGTCTAATTTTAACTAATCCACGAAATTGATCAACACATTCATCATTGTTATCAATGAGTTACTATCTCACAACAGATCTGGTTGAACTCCACTAGTCACTGCTTCTCACTAAAACTTCAAGAAGTACACCTTGAGACCAGTTCTTAGTGAGTATATGTGGATGAGTGCTTTCAGGTTTTTCATGGTAGTCCAACTTTAACTGATTCATAATCTCAACTATTAAAACTATTTCGAAGTATTTATGTCCAGGCTATGGTTGTAATTACATACTATAATCCAATTCATAAGAAGATATCAGTATAGTTTATCCATCCTTTTTACTAATAGAAAATGTTATCAAAATATTCCACACTAATATTCATCTTACAGATCCCTTTAATCTGAAGAACAAAAGTAGAACCATATCAACTATTCAGTGACACTCATGTCCAACCTTGATGGATAAACGATTATTCGATAAGCTATCCAGTCTTACTACTTTACTTGAATATCTCTTAAACAAATAAATTCTTCAATTACAGTAGGTTCTGTCCTTCGGTTGAAATTGACCGACCTAATTCATAAGAAAGTTATCAGAATCCTTTAATGTCTATTGATTTCAAATAAATGATCAGATCAACATGTATAAAGGATACTTCAAGGAACCCTGATAATCGCTTTAAGCCGCTTAAGATGATTCTACTGATTTTGGTAAATGATATCCTTCAATGAATTTAGAAAGAATGAATTACGATAACTTTCTTAGAGTTACATTGAGATAACCGATTAGTTCGTCCTACACTTTCAAGATATCTAAGAGTACTCTACCTATGTATTAAGTTCCTTTATATTGTAGTATAACTAAACCCGATATTTAGTTACTTAATAATTGAATAGTCTAGTCTTATTGCAAAGATCATGCATTTGATGTCACCATCTTGAAACACCGACTTCAGTGGCTTGGACATGTTCTATAAATGTCATCCCAGAGAATTCCACTTCGTGTATTATTTGCCGACTCTGGGACTGGTTGGAAGAAGCGGAGAGGTGGTCAGTATATGACATGGTGTCGTGGTATGAAACAAAGCTGCAAAGGGCTAGCTTGTGTTGGTCCTTCACGACTCCCTGGCCTGGGGTCCGAGAGATGGTGTAACACAGTGGTTATAGAGACGTTATCAGATATGGCTCAGAATCGAAGGCAGTGGCGATCGTGCTGTAACCTCTTACTTTCTTCATAAAAAGTGGTTGTATCTTCCTTAACTGTAAGATTTCTTCTGAGTGTACCTTTTCGTTTCCCCCATTATTACTACTATTACATTACCTTACACTATTCTGGTCGTTATTGTTTCCTTCTTTTATAATTCCCTACGCTCCTTACCTTTTTTCCCCTTTCTCTTCTCATTCTCATTGTTTTGTGTGGCGCATATATATATTTGGCGCCCCCCCCCTGTACCACTATTTATGTGTTTGTAGTGACCTACTTTTGTCAACAGAACGCGATTGGTTCGATGAAAACAATTATTATTATAACCAATTATACCAGTGACTGTTTTACTGTGCTCGTTTGTTTAACTCTGCTAATAACAGCCATTTTAGTCTTCCATTGTATTCCATTGCTTCTGCGCGGTTTTCGACTACGCACGTATCTTTTCTTGCCGATCGCACCTGTACTCCTTTGGCACGATCTCGGTATTCTTTCGATACCACGAGATTGCCAACAAATATATTACGACTACTACTATCATCTGCCTTCTGATTTTTGGCCTACCGGAATCTTATTGGTCTATTGGCAAGTAGTCTGGTAGCGGTGTTCATAGTTCAGCTCAACTCGACACCACGCTACATGTTTAAACAAATAAATAAATCATGCCTAGTCTATGTTTATTATTTAAAGCGTTGAAATTCGAACACTTCTAACCTTATGACGACTAGTAGTGACAGTTATAAATGCTACGACTTTCCATAACTTCAGAACAGTGTCCCATTGGATTATGAAATATTCAATAAGCAACAGAGTGAACACTGTCGATTAAATCGTTTTTGTAAACACAACCAATGATAGCTGTTAGTTTGATCATCAAGCATCTTATTTACCTGATTACTTTGACAGTATTATTTCGAGGATCTAATCGTGTCCAACATACCCCTACTCTATCAGGATTTGGTTAAGTATACTTAACATATCCCAACCACAATTGATGAAGATTTACAACTATATTAACTAATTTAGACTCATTCTTCTAGTACTCTATTCCCAATCTCAACACTGTTCACTGCGTCGTTATGCGCTACTCATGAAAGACTCTAAACACATCTGCAATCGAAATTTGTAAACAAAGAGTATCGTCTTTGTTCAATGCCATGTATCACAGCCACTAAGTAATGAGGATGAACTATTGAGTAGTAAACTTGTTCTCTAGTTGATTGATAGATATCTCACCTATTCCACAGAGACACAGGTTAAAAATTACTAAATGATACATTTGAATCTGTTCCGAGATTTCGTCAGACACTAATTCATCATGACTAATGAACCTTCTAAGATAAGTCGAATAGCTAACGTACTCAACGAATTCATCAATTATGATCGGTCTTGGAGATAAAGTAGACCAATTCTAAATAAGCATTTCATATTTAAAGAGAGATATTCATCTTAAACAAGATTTCACTGTTACTCAAAAGGTACTGAATTCAGTCAATGTCTTTATCAAGTATTTCCAAGTTGATTAGTGAACGTCCACGTCTGAGACACATCTTTTCAAAGTTGTCCAATGTTACAGGAATTTCCAAAATTGTACAAGTCATGTCGGAAACTCTCTTCACATTAAAATGAACACCAACAGAAATTCAACTATCCGTATCATTTGTTATGTAAGAATATACATGATCTTATTGTTAGTTAAATCCTCTAAATGACCAAGTTGCTTTGAATGTTTCAGATTAGGTATATTCTTTACAAACTTTGAAATTATAGTATAAAACTCGATTGGTACATCACGATAGACATGCCCGACCACCACATCAAGATAGCAACAATGGTCAGGAGTATAGGACTAGAAAGTTTATTGATTCGTTTTGACAGTATCTAGTTACGTACGTAGATGAAAAAGAGAAAATACAGTGAATCAGATTATGAATTATTATCTAACTCATGAAATTCAACACAAATGGTTCATTAGAATGTTGGTATTTAATATGGAAGTACTACTACTCTTGATGGCGAAATTCTGGAAGATGTGTAATCTTTCACATACCTGGGAAGCATCGTCGATAAACAAGGAGATTCAGATGCAGACGTCAGGGCGAGGATGGGCAAAGCAAGGACAGCATTCCTTCAATGAAAGAATATACGGAACTCAAAACACGTGTCTGTCAATCAATATCAAAGTCACAATCTTCAATATGAACGTCAACACAGTTAGTTCTATTGTAAGGAGCTGACAATTCGAGAACTACAACAACCACCATCAAGAAGGTACAGGTATTTATAAATCACTGTCTACGCAAGATACTCAACATTCATTGACCGGATACCATCAACAACAGCCTTTTGTGCGAGAGAGCCAATCAGCTTCCAGCGGAAGAAGAAATTCGGAAAAGACGATTGAAATGAATAGAACATAAATTGAAGAAATTATCAAACTGCATCACGAGACGACCCCTAACTAGGAATCTTGAAGGAAAACGGAAAATTGGAAGGTCAAAGAACACATGACGTCGAGAAATAGAAGCGAATATGAAAAAGATGGATAACAAGTGGAAAGAGCTGGGAAAGTATTGCCCATGACAGGGTTGTATGGAGAATGCTGGTGAGTTGCCTATAGTCCTTGACGAAGACTAACAGGCGTAAGTAAGTAAGTACTACTATGAAGTCGCATCAAGTTTAGTATAATTCTTCAGCTTTCAATGGTATTAAGTTTCCTATTTATCAAAGTACCTCAAGTCATCAGCTTACACAAAAGTAATCACACTCAACCTGATGAATCAAACACAAGTAATTAAACAAATTTGTTTATAATACTTTATTGAGAAATAAACATTACTTGAAAATATTAATGCCAAATGTATCTTAGTACTTCAATCAGTTGGATCCATATACACTTACTAGCTAAAGGTTGACCTTCTTGTACTGTTATATAGGCTTGTGGTTCCTAGTGTTGGATAATTTAGATTACCGCTTGATGAAATAGTTGATCTGTATCCATGAAAAGGTGCTTTATTCAACGTTTGATAGTTTGGTATCAAGTAAGATGAGAACATTTGTCTTCTATAAGAATTAAAAGGTCGTCTGATAAACATATTTGAAGTATAAATTTGTGTTTTCTGATTAGGTTGGAATCCAGTATACCTATTTTGTCGAATAATGTCTATCGGTGGTCCAAGATTAGTTCTTTGTGTAGGAAAGTTGGTTTGTTGTGTTATGAAACTATTTGGGTAACTTATTGAAGGTGAATTCCTTCTATTCTGATATAGAATAGATCCAGTATAGGTAGGAGTTATAAATCGTCTTTGTGATGGTAAAGAATGGTAACCACCTATGGTATTCGATTGACGTGACATATCCCAACCTCCAAACATTTGATTATTCCATATTGTTTGACTAGGTGATACATATTCATTTTGTCTATTGTCAAATTCATTCATTTGATTAATCCATGTCTCTAATTCATTATCTTCTAAATCATTATCTATAGGAAATGTATTTTGTACTGTTCTAGATGGTATGACATATGCCATGGATTCATCATTAGAACGAAGTACTCTATATCCATTACCGCCAACCACCGGATTTAAGTTAAATACATTTGAACCTTTATTCTGATAAGTTGATGATTGATTTCTAACCACATCAAATATATTCGTTGGTTCTGGAACTTCTTGCCATTGATTATTAGTTGATATATAATTCACTGTAGAACTTTCATAGGAAGGATTTGATAAAGTAACTGGTGCATAGATTTGTTCCATAGATAGTAGAATGATAAAACCATGGAAGAAATTGAAATGATCATTATATTGAAACATATTATTTGATTGAAAGAAATAAATGATCGGATCAAGATAATGAATGATCAGTGATCAAAATCTATTTGATTGATCAACTAAAATGAATAATTTATTAGATGAATACTCAAAATATAGAACTTTGATCAATCTAATGAGTAGTTAAAGTTTAATCAATATTATACTATACATAGATTATCATGAAAGGTTTCTTTCAAATTGAATGTATATAATGAATTTAATAAGTATTAAGTAGTCTTATTATAATCCATTGCCCCTAAATGCCCTGGTACGGCTGAGAGTGGGGAGAGTTCGCTCTCCCTCTTGAAATGCTTTCACATGGCCATGCGTATATAGCCTCTGCCAGGGAAATCCTACTCACTGCATTCTCGTGGCGGGGGTGTTGTTAACAAAAATGAGAGGACGAAAAGCGAATGTCCGGCACTTTAATCGGATCACAAACCAATGGTGCACATGGGCTCCAGTATCCTGCCTGAAGGAACAAATGGCGTATGAATCAATCGTTGGTCACCGGCTACCATGGGACTGCATCTCCTTACGATGCTCTCCACTGTCTTGTGGGTCAGACGTTCAGGTCAAAGGCTCGGGGTGTGGCCCCCTAAGAAAACCACCTACTTCGGTTTGGGCACCCGAGCAGTATCACAACCCTCACACAAATCAATTGAGATTTGTGTGGCGCATATGTATTTGGTACCTCCTTGTACCGATATCTATGTGTTAAAATAATAATAATAATATTATAATGCATTATAACTATTGATTTTGTTAATGCTTTAATAGGATGGAGAAGATATGTAGTTCAAATGGATGATTTTGTTAAAGTTTTGTTCTTTAATCTAGATGATTGGATTGTGGAGCTTTCATTGTACTTCTACTAAACGATCTCATCAGTACAAACTACGTTCAGAAAAACGATGAAAGCTCCACAATCAAATCATTCAGCTTATAAAACAAAACTTCATCCAAAACGTTTTAATATTGAAGTCAATCAGAATTTTCACTAGTTGAAATCATGAATCCATTGAAACTAGATCATCATCATGGAAAACCTGAAAACACTGGACGGCGGTTTCGTCCTTGTATGGGACTCTTCAGTGGTAGTGTGCATCGACGAATTATAAAAACAAACATTATTATATTTAGGAAATAATAATAATAAAAAAGGTTTGGATGAGATATGTTGTTATGAAACTGTAGTCCTGACAACTGTTATCGTTCATTTACTCTTTAGTTGTACGAATTTTAACAGTTCGGACCAGTATATTCTTATTCTAGTTCCTGAAATTCATATCAATCTGTGTAGGTACAGTTTACTTATGGTTAAGAGCTGAGTTTATTCAAGGTTCTGATAGAATGACCCACTTTTATGGGCTACTAATTTACAGAATGATTGAATGTATTTCAACTGACTTACTTACTTACGCCTTTTACTCCTCGTCAAGGAGCATAGGCCGCTCACCAGCATTCTCCATCCAACTCTGTGCTGAGCAATCCTTTTCAGCTCTCTCTAGTTCTTATTCATCCTTTTCATAACCGATTCATATCTGCTTCTATTTCCCGATGTAATGTGTTATTTGGCCTTCCTCTTTTCCACTTCCCTTTAGGACTCCAAGTTAGCGCTTGTCCAGTAATGCAGTTTGATGGTTTCTGTAATGTATGTCCTATCCATTTTCATCGTCTTTTCCTAATTTTCTCTTCAGCTGGAAGCTGGTTGGTTCTCTCCCAAAAAAGGTTGTTGCTGATGTTATCCGACCAATGGATGTTGAGTATCTTGCGTAGACAGCTATTGATAAATACTTGTACATTCTTGATAGTGGTTGTAGTAGTTTTCGAAGTTTCAACTCTATACAGTAGAACTTTCTTCATGTTCGTATTGAAGATTTTCGCTTTGATATTGGTTGAAAGTTGTTTTGAGTTCAATATATTCTTCAATTGAAGGAATGCGGCCCTTGCTTTGCCAATCCCCGCTTTTACATCTGCATCTGAATCTCCTAGTTCATTGACGATGCTTCCCAGTTATGTGAAAGATTCCACATCTTCCAGAGTTTTGCCATCCAGAGTGATTGGATTGCTGTTTTCCATGTTGTATTTGAGGACCTTGGTTTTCCCTCATTGTATCTGTTGAGGCCTACTGATGCAGAGACTGCTGCTATTTTGGCTATCTTTATCTGCATTATTTCAACTGACATCATCATTTAGTTTTAAAAAATGTATATCATTTATGGAGTTGTACTTCAGCACACTCAGTGTACGTAGGTTTAATTGACTACTGTTCATTCCAAGTTATAGATATCAAAGGACTGAACTAATATGTGGTCAATGATTGATTAATGACTTACGAGACTACACAGAGAAATTAAACGAACCATTGTAAAGATGTAGGACGACTATTCTTCGGTGCCTATACCACTACAAAGTTGTTCCGCCCAAGTTTTTGACTTGATAGGATACATTAACATCTCATAGTAATTATACAAATATTGATCAAAATTTTTCACACTAGATCAAAGCTTTCATAAGTTGATCGAATCACTTCGAAAGACGGTAAATACAATCCTACAACCTATCAGCTATTGATAAAGTATGGTCTAATGCAAATAGCACGAAGTGGTATTTTAACAATCATTATTTGCATGATCAAATGTATCTACTTGTAAGTAGTCTATAACATTTTGATAAAGATTACCATTGAAATGAAGTGTTCTTCGAGTTCCAGATGAATAGTTAGTGGATCATAATGATGATTGGATATGTATTGCTACTTAATAACCCATGAATTCCTTTCTGTAAAATAAGAACAACGGTCATCGTGTAGTAGATATCGCATAAATATTGCCTTTTAAATGGTTCAGTACAATGAACTCTGTGAAGGCACGGATTGGCAAAGCAAGAGCAGCATATTTACAACTGAAGAATATCTGGAACTCAAAACAATTGGCAACCTACACCAAGGTCACAATTTTCAATACAAATGTCAAGACAGTTCTACTGTATGGGGCCAAAACCTGGAAAACTACGAAATCCATCGTCCAAAACATACAGGTGTTTATTAACAGTTGTCTACGCAAAATACTTCAGAACCGCTGGCCGGACACTATAAGCAACAACCTACTGTGGGAGAGAACAAATCACATCCCAGTGGAGGAAGAAATCAGGAAGAAGCGCTGGAAGTGGATAGGACACACATTGAGGAATACACGCAACTGCGTCACGAGACAAGCCCTCACATGGAATCCTCAATATCGAAGGAGGAGAGGAAGACCAAAGAATACATTACGCCGGGAAATGGAGATAAATATGAGAAAAATGAACAAGAATTGGATGGAACTAGAAAAGAAGGTAGAGTAGGACAGAGTGTGTTGGAGAATGCTGGTCGGCGGCCTATGCTCCATTGGGAGTAACAGGCGTAAGTAAGTAAGTAAGTAAGTAAGTACAATGAACTCAATGATAAACTAAAATCACAGGGTGTCGGAACGTAAAGTTACCAACGTTACTTATTTCAGTATTACTAGAATGAATTTTAAATGTTAGTCAGTCAGCCAGTCAGCTACAACGTAGGAACAGACACATATACGAGTTGACACACCTGATTACCCCAACAAGATAAATACCGGATTCATAGAAGTAGTTAATTCAATGGTGGTAATATATCAAAGAAAGATATAAAGGGAAGACAAAGAGTGTATACATCGATGCCATTGTGATCGATTCTGGGCGATGTCACTCAGAGTCTCCAACCATTGTTTATGATAGTCACTCGAACCTCAACCAAATAGTCTCCGTGTACCAACATGGCTAAGACGAGAGGTTGGTAACTTTATGGATTGATGCCATGTTTTGGTTTGACCTCCCCTAATTTTATTCCAACCATCCCCAACACTAATCATTTTTAAATGATTGTAACTTTAGTCAATATAAAATTTATTTTCATATGTTCACAAAAGATTCCCCCTTATTGAAGAAGACTTTACAATTCATTATAGTTTAATGTTATCTGGGAAATAGTTGAGAACCCGGTACTTCATAGATAGTTATTTCAATTTAATATATTTCTCAAGTGTTATTTATGTTGCCATGGGAAAAAAACAAAAATACAAAAATATTTTTAAATAACTTGATGATTATTTATATTGTTAACTAAGTTAATGAATATGTAATCTTACTTATTACACGTATTAATCTCAATGGAGTATAGGCCGTTAACTAGACTTCTCCAACCTATTCTATCCTAGGTAACATGTAGTCATTATCCAATTAATACATTTATGAATCAGATATTATACTTTACTTTTTTTTTTTTTTTTTTTTTTTTTTTTTTTTTTTTTTTTTTTTTTTTTTTTTTTTTTTTTTTTTTTTTTTTTTTTTTTTTTTTTTTTTTTTTTTTTTTTTTTTTTGGCAAATATAGAATCAAATGAATTGAAGACTTAACAATAATAATGATCATCCATGAAAATGATAAAACAAAAATGTTAATTATACACTTAAACATAAGCCATTAAACGATTATTCAAGTCAATAGATCCGATAATAAGATATTGTTTAAAGTAATTAGTCCCTTTTTTATATGAATTTTTAATAGAGCTATAAGAAGATAGAATTGATCTGAACAACATTGTGATGTGATAAACTTCTATCTGAAGTTTATACTGATGATGATGTCGCATTCAGAAGAAGAACGATGAAAGCTCCTTACTTATTTACTTACGCCTGTTACTCCCAATGGAGCATAGGCCGCCAACCAGCATTCTCCAACCCACACACTCTGTCCTGGGTCTTCTTTTCTAGTTCCATCCAATTCTTGTTCATTTTTCTCATATTTATCTCCATTTCTCGGTGTAATGTGTTCTTTGGTCTTCCTCTCTTCCTTCGACATTGAGGATTCCAAGTGATGAGGTCTTGTCTTGTGACGCAGTTGGATGCTTTCCTCCATGTGTGTCTTATCCACTTCCAGCGCTTCTTCCTGATTTCTTCCTCCACTGGAATCTGATTTGTTCTCTCCC